ATATAGATGACGTAGATACTGTAAGTTATATAAATCATTGATCTTCTACTGATAATTGTAAACTAAACTAAATGCAAAGGATAAAAGTAACAATGTTAAATATCACTTTAGACTAACAAATTCAACCGTAATATTTTGCTTCAAAAATAAGACGTATGGAACCCGATAGTCTCACCAAAAGTGCAAGCTTCCGCCATCTGTTAGCAAAATAATGAACTAAACGTTGGCGTCGCCAATGAGAAGACAGTAAATGTAATTTTATGTTTTTTACCGATATATGTCATCTTTCACGAGTGATTATACAATATACAGGTGTTGGCGGAGATAATGAAGAGTTTACCTTCCCGGGGTCGTGTTTAGATACTGTACACTAAAATAAAAGACAACGGCAGGAGAAAACCTTAAACTTACGATAATTTTCCACCTTTATTAGTCAAGTGAACCTAAATGACTTATTTGGTAAACTTTTGGATATGAAAAATTTGATATAGAAAAATGATACACTTATCTACATGGAGGTAGGATATATTACTTTAATAGGGTATTGATTAGAGAAGCAGGATATACCGTTGTTTATCAGGTCGGCAGGATACGTGATGCATTTGTGACTTGTGATATTTGGTATAGGTTAAGTAAGGACAATATTGCTAGACTATGTCACATTGTCTCATTAATGATCCAAGAGGCTGTTCTTACCGTGAGTCAAACGAGTATAGTGAACATTAACTAAATTCCATGTTATTTCTAAACACAACTCCAAGGTGACCTGAAATTAAACTTACGTGTAATCTTACGGACTAATACCTAACTCAGTACCTGTGCGGCTCTGAGCAAATCTGCCAATGCCTTTCCTACCACCACCACCACAACCACCGCCCCCGCCGCCTCCACCACCAACACACTCATACATTTTCTGGGTGTCTGTACCACCTTACTCTGAGGAATACGGAATCACTGTAGTCTAATGACATACTACAGATGATTTATACACTAATAAGACCTTATACGACTTTACTCCAGCACCTTAACTCGTCCCTCCATGCTCCGGGTCCGTCTCTGTTCGCCTATATACGCAAGAAACACGAGTATGATACTAAGAATATATAACTTATACAAATGGTGTAGATGATATACAGACTTTAACAAGACTTTGTGAACACAGACTCACTGAGGTGTTGACTTTGTGTTGTGGGGAGGAAGAATAATTATAAAGACACAAATATTTTAGATGCAAATGTTTGAGTATTTTAGAGACGTTTGCAATATCATATATGAGTCGAGGCTCCACCTTCCTCCTCTGATAAAACAAATTTACGGCCAAATACCTGGGCGTAATCACAGCTTGATATAGATGACGTAGATACTGTAAGTTTTATAAATCATTGATCCTCTACTGATAATTGTAAACTAAACTAAATGCAAATAATAAAAGTAACAATGTTAAATATCAGTTTAGACTAACAAATTCAACCGTAATATTTTGCTTCAAAAATAAGCCGTATGGAACCCGATAGTCTCACCAAAAGTGCAAGCTTCCGCCATCTGTTAGCAAAATAATGAACTAAATGTTGGCGTCGCCAATGAGAAGACAGTAAATGTAATTTAATGTTTTTACCGATATACGTCATCTTTCACGAGTGATTATACAATATACAGGTGTTGGCGGAGGTAATGAAGAGTTTACCTTCCCGGGGTCGTGTTTAGATACTGTACACTAAAATAAAAGACAACGGCAGGAGAAAACCTTAAACTTACGATAATTTTCCACCTTTAATAAGTGAACCTAAATGACTTATTTGGTAAACATTTGGATATGAAAAATTTGATATAGAAAATGATACACTTATCTACATGGTAGGATATATTATTATTTAATAGGGTTATTGATTAAAGCAGGATATACCGTTGTTTATCAGGTCGGCAGGATACGTGATGCATTTGTGACTTGATATTTGGTATAGGTTAAGTAAGGACAAAATTGCTAGACTTATGTCACATTGTCTCTCATTAATGATCCAAGAAACTGTTCTTGCCGTGAGTCAAACGAGTATAGTGAACATTAACTAAATTCCATGTTATTTCTAACTCAACTCCAAGGTGATGACCTGAAATTAGACTTACGTGTAATCTTACGGACTAATACCTAACTCAGTACCTGTACGCAGCTCTGACCAAATCTGCCAAGGCCTTTCCTACCACCACCACCACCACCACCCACCGCCCCGCCGCCTCCACCAACACACTCATACATTTTCTGGGTGTCTGTCCACCTTCCTCTCTGAGAATACAGAATCACTGTAGTCTAATGACATACTACAGATGATTTATACACTAATAAGACCTTATACGACTTTTTGCTCCAGCACCTTAACTCGTCCCTCCATGCTCCGGGTCCGTCTCTGTTCGCCTATATACGCAAGAAACACGAGTATGATACTAAGAATATATAACTTATACAAATGGTGTAGATGATTTACAGACTTTAACAAGACTTTGTGAACACAGACTCGCTGAGGTGTTAACTTTGTGTTGTGGGGAGGAAGAATAATTATAAAGACTGACAAATTTATTAGATGTAAATGTTTGAGTATTTTAGAGACGTTTGCAATATCATATATGAGTCGAGGCTCCACCTTCCTCCTCTCATAAAAGAAATTTACGGCCAAATACCTGGGCGTAATCACAGCTTGATATAGATGACGTAGATACTGTAAGTTTTATATATCATTGATCCTCTACTGATAATTGTAAACTAAATTAAATGCAAATAATAAAAGTAACAATGTTAAATATCAGTTTAGACTAACAAATTCAACCGTAATATTTTGCTTCAAAAATAAGCCGTATGGAACCCGATAGTCTCACCAAAAGTGCAAGCTTCCGCCATCTGTTAGCAAAATAATGAACTAAATGTTGGCGTCGCCAATGAGAAGACAGTAAATGTAATTTAATGTTTTTTACCGATATACGTCATCTTTCACGAGTGATTATACAATATACAGGTGTTGGCGGAGGTAATGAAGAGTTTACCTTCCCGGGGTCGTGTTTAGATACTGTACACTAAAATAAAAGACAACGGCAGGAGAAAACCTTAAACTTACGATAATTTTCCACCTTTAATAGTCAAGTGAACCTAAATGACTTATTTGGTAAACATTTGGATATGAAAAATTTGATATAGAAAAATGATACACTTATCTACATGGAGGTAGGATATATTACTTTAATAGGGTATTGATTAGAGAAGCAGGATATACCGTTGTTTATCAGGTCGGCAGGATACGTGATGCATTTGTGACTTGTGATATTTGGTATAGGTTAAGTAAGGACAATATTGCTAGACTATGTCACATTGTCTCATTAATGATCCAAGAGGCTGTTCTTACCGTGAGTCAAACGAGTATAGTGAACATTAACTAAATTCCATGTTATTTCTAAACTCAACTCCAAGGTGACCTGAAATTAGACTTACGTGTAATCTTACGGACTAATACCTAACTCAGTACCTGTACGGCTCTGAGCAAATCTGCCAAGGCCTTTCCTACCACCACCACCACAACCACCGCCCCCGCCGCCTCCACCACCAACACACTCATACATTTTCTGTGTGTCTGTACCACCTTGCTCTCTGAGGAATACAGAATCACTGTAGTCTAATGACATACTACAGATGATTTATACACTAATAAGACCTTATACGACTTTGCTCCAGCACCTTAACTCGTCCCTCCATGCTCCGGGTCCGTCTCTGTTCGCCTATATACGCAAGAAACACGAGTATGATACGACCAATAAAAAAACAAACGGAATTATAATACAATAAAAATACAAGCCTGATTGGTTGACATACGAGACGGACGCTTTATTGGTTCCGTAAGTAAGTAATTTAGCTAATTAGCGGCCGCCTGTGACGTCATCGCTAGGTGAATCAGGGGATCTTGATGTATTTTTTCCCTAAGATGAACTAAGCTTTGGTTTGGCATGCGAGAATTTTTTTAAACTTTTTCTAGGATGAATTACGCTTTGTTTACGTTTCCCAAGACAAACTAAACCTTTTTATTTTCCCAGGACGATGTAAACAAGATACCTCCACCTGCTATAATGCTCAAGTCTTATAACTCGCCTATGTAAAACAGCCCTTCAAAGAACAGGGGTTTAAGAGCATAATATATAATGAATAATATATAGAGCGTAATAGAGCAATAATAATAGTTAAATAGCATAATAGAGCGAGAAATAACATTAAACCCTCTTACATCAATAGTATATCCTTCTATTTTATCAGACACAATATATTTAGTATGAAGACGCCTTAAAATCCTTGTAGAGCGTGTGTGTGTGTGTGTGTGTTTATGTATGTACGTGTGTGTGTGTGTGTGTGTGTGTGTGTGTGTTTATGTATGTACGTGTGTGTGTGTGTGTGTGTGTGACGCTCCAGGTAGCATCCCTACTTTGCATGAGGTAGATCTAGCATTAAAGTATTTTAATTATAAACATAGAGGCGCGGGGAGGCGTGGGAGGCGCGGGGCGTGGGAGCGCGGGGGGCGTGGGAGGCGCGGGGGGCGTGGGAGGCGCGGAGGGCGTGGGAGGCGCGGGAAAAAACGGACGGACTCGGTTATATAGTTAATTAAAGGGAGGAGAGGAGAGGAGGGAGGAGTAGAGTGAGAGGGGAGATAAAGTGGGGAGGGAGGTGAGGGGGTGGGTGATGCGAGGAGGTGAGGTAAGGAGGAGCTAAAGGGAGATGAGGTGGTGGAGGTGAGAGTGATGCGAGGGGAGGTGAGATAAGGAAATAGAGTGGGGTGAGGAGGCTAAGAGATGAGGTGAGAGGAACTAAGGGTGGGATACATCCCAGCCTCAGGATGAATTAACGATAGGATGCCTAGGGTGGTATCCTTGAAACACACACACACACACACACACACACACACACACACAGGCCTAATTATGACTCTTCCGTGACTCCTTTACAAAAGCTTCTGAAGTGTAGTAATGACACTTACTTTTATCCTGAAATTCAGCAGCAGGTCGTCGAACCCTTCCATCACCTCCTGAAATAAATGAAAAACACTGAAATATGAAGCAAAAGCCAGAAATATGACAAGGTTTGAAATATGACGCATAAAGATTAAAACATGTAAAATCCTGAAATATGACACAAAAGCCTGAAATAAGACATAAAATCCTGAAATATGACACAAACGCATAGTAGACACGCCTTATGAGATAAGACAAAACGCCAAAATACTACAAAAATACATCTACAAACACCAGAAAAAATATATATATATATATAAAAAAAATATAAATTCAGAACTAAAATATATATACCTAAGACTCTATACCATACCTCTCCTCCCTCCAGCAACTAAGGTGATGGAGTCAGGTGGGTGGGTGGGAGGACTGAAGGAGCATATTGGGATCTCGTTGGGTGGGGGACTGAGAGGGAGGGTGGGATGGGTGGGTGGGAGGACTGAGGAGGTGGGATGGAGTTGGAGTGGGAGGAGGACTGAGGAGGTGGGATGGGTGGGTGGGAGGACTAGAGAGAGGGTGGGATGGGTGAGTGGGGGGAGGGAGGTGGGGGGGTGGAGGTGGAGGAGGGGGGGGGGAGGGTGGGATGGGTGGGTGGAGGGAAGGAGGAAATAATGATGGTATGAGAGGAGGGAAGGTAAGTAGGATGGAAGGAGGGAGGAAGAATTGAGGAAAAGAGGGAGGGTGGGATGGAGGGAAAGAGGAAAGGATGAAGAAAGGATGGAAGAATGGAAGGAAGGAAAGAGGAGAGAAAGGAAGAAAAGAGGAAAAACAGGAGGAAAGACACACGAAAGGCCAAACACACAGAGTGACGAACATACACACCAAACACAAACCGCTATCCACCTCAGTTTATTATTCATAAAAAAAGAAAAACGTAGGACAACACAAAAAAAAGAAAACAAATACAAAATAAAAGTAGCCAGATAAAACAGGGAACAAAAGCGACGGAGGAAAAGACTTGACAAAAGATTTAAAAACAAAAGATCTTAAGATTTTGTTGCCGGAAGGGCTTACCTGACACCTGCCAGCCGCTGTAAATACGGTGATGATAATAATAATAATAATAATAATCTTCAGTGTTTAATCAAAATAGAATCAAATAACCACGATAATTCTGGACCCTGATAAACGTCAACATAAAGTAAACAATAACAATCCGAGACGATCTATCCATCTCCCTGGTCATCCATGTCTTTTTACACAGTCCGGGACGAAATGCGTCTCGGACTGTTTGTTGTTTCTGGGGCTCATTCATGGCACCAAGAGAACCCGAGACTCATGTGTTTCGAAGCTTCATTCTCAAATAACTTTTCAATTAATAACAAAAAATCTTTATTAAATTGAACGTTTTTTTTAATACAGGCATAACGTCATCACCTTCTGCGTCTGACTAACTTCCTGAAGGGGCAAGGAGTCACCCTCCTCCTGCCCCTCCTTACCTGGAGGAGGGGCAGCAGGTGCTCAATATGATAATGAAGGAGACAAGACTAGGAGGGAGGCGGGTTAACGTAGATATTAATTATCGACCAGCGGAGACTTGCCAACACTAACACCTGTGTGTGTGTGTGTGCTCTAGGTGCAACAGGTGATTAAATACCTAGTAGTAAGGTTAAGTTAGGTAAAGGTTAAGTTAGGTTAGGTGAGTGGGTCTTAAGTGTGTCAGTCTTCACAAGTCTACCACCACAGTAATTGGTATGTCAATGTGAAGGAGTTACTTGACTTCTTGTTTAACCTAGTACAAACATACATACATACATACATACATACATACATACATACATACATACATACATACACTACTGTTTACTACTTACACACACACACACACACACACACACACACACACACACACACACACACACACACACACACGTAGCGCGGGGAAACATGTTAGTTAACTGGAGTGTTTGCCATAGCTTGTTAGAGTATGGGTAGGGAGGGAGTGGAGGAAGGGGGTGATGCTGTACTTTGGGTGAGAGATATTGATCTATGGAGGGAGGGGAGAGGGAAGGGAAGGGTAGGGAAGGGGTTGCAGGGAGGGGGGGCAGTAAGGGGAAGGGTAGGGCAGTGAGGATAGAGGTAGATGAGTGAGGGAGAGGTAGGGAGGGGAGGGGGAAGAGAGGGAGAGGTAGGGAAGGGGAGAGATAGGGAATGGGGAGGGGGAGGTAGGGAAGGGGAGAGGTAGGGGGAGGAATATGGTGGAGACAGGTCTTTGTTACACGGAGACCACGTTATTATTATTACTAATATTATTAGCGTTGTCGTTGTTGTTGTTGTTGTTGTTGCTGTTGTTGTTGTCGTTGTTGTTGTTTGTTGTTTGTTGTTTGTTGTTGCTGTCGTTGTTGTTGATATTTGTTGTTGTTATTGTTGATTTAGATATTTAGACGAGAAATATATGACCCCTTGGTAATAACTGATCAGGTTAGGTTAGGTTACCATCAAGTGTCAAATCTCTTTATGAGCTCTGACCTGACCAACACTCACAAGAACCTGTACAGTACACGTCTAGTACAGGTCACATAAGAGAGCTGACCCATTTGATGAGTGACGAGGAAGGATGAGTGACGTGTACTGAGGAGGACAAGTGACGTGTACAGGTTGTTAATTGGTAACTCGAACACCTGCTTGGGGTACCTCTCTCTCTCTCTTGTATAACGTCACACACACATATATTCTCCAGCACTGTATACCAACACACACACACACACACACACACACACACACACACACACACACACACACACACACACACACACACACACACACACACACACACACACACACAGAGCCGTGGGGTGAAGCTTCAACAGGTAGCTGACCTGCCTCAAGGGAGGTGAGGAGGAGGTAGGAGAGATGAGGAGGGGGGGGTGGTGGCGAGGGGTAGAGATGAGGGGAACGGCAGGAGATTAAGGGATGGACTAGTAGGGGAGGGGGGGAGAGGGGAGGGAGGAAGGTAAGGCAGGTAGAGAGGGAAGAGGAAACCCATCTATAAGATAATTAATTTGAGGTTTTTTGAGGTCGAGGGAGAGAGGGACGGCCATTACTGACCCTATAATAATAATAATAATAATAATAATAATAAAATAATAATAATGGTGAAATAATAAATAATAACAACAATACAGTGCCACCGTTCCTCCCCACAGTGCCACCCCCACAGTGCCACCTCCCCATAGTGCCATCCCTCCCACAATACCATCCTTCCCACAGTGCCACCTCCCACAGTGCCATCCCTCCCACAATACCATCCTTCCTCCCACAGTGCCACCTCCCCTCCCATAGTGCCATCCCTCCCACAATACCATCCTTCCTCCCACAGTGCCACCTCCCCTCCCACAGTGCCATCCCTCTCCCCACAGTGCCACCTCCCCTCCCACAGTGCCACCTCCTCCCCCACAGTGCCATCCCTCCCCCACAGTGCCTTATGGCCTCTCACTCACCTCTGACCCTCAAAGCTGACCAACACCGCACCGTAAACTCCACCATACCAATAATTAACCTAACCTAACCAAGACTACATAACTCACCCATATTCTATATCTCTGCACTCAATGTCTCACGGTGTGTTTCTGAGTTTACCTTATAATGAGTCTATCTTGGCAGTGTGGCATTCCTGTGGTCACCTTGTAGTTAGCAAAGACGTCTTAAAGGTCACGCTTAAAAGGTCCGGTTATAAAAATAACCTCAGCTCTTATTAATAATGCTGGGGGGGGATTGAGTGGGAGGGAATGGGTGAGTGAGTGAGGGGGATTGAGTGAGAGGGAGTGAGTGAGAGGGAGTGGGAGTGAGGGCGTGGGAGTGAGGGGGCCTGAGTAAGTGGGGAGAACGAAATCATGAGAGACTTTTGAGGACAATTAGAGATCGATTCATACAGTTAATGAGGGTAAATTACATGAGTTAAGCCTTATTATAATTATCATACATCAATCATACTATACAACTCTATCATACACCCTCACCATACACCCTCACCATACAACTATCATACACCCTCACCATACATCCTCACCATACACCAATCATACACCAATGTCCTTAGACTACCCAGTATACCAACCATCACCTCAACAACACACACACACACACACACAGCCATCACGACTCACTCCAACATGCCCTTCGAGTTAACTAATTCCCTAGAGGATAGAAAAACAGGTAACATGATATAGGAATGAGACACCTGGCATCCAAGATAACATGATAGCAACTCAGGATAATAAAGACGTGATAGAAATACAAGGAATACATTTGGATTATCGATATCAGGTAAAAAAAAAAAGATCCATCACTGCAAACTTTAAAATTTAAGTTCTATTTATGGAACTTTAAAATTGAACTTGACCTTAAAAGTAATATTTTAAAGTTCATGTCCTTTACACACACCCTAGCTGCCGCTCTCCCCACCCCTTGTGGTGGGCCTCACCTGCCATCAACAGGTGAGGCGGTGGTGTGGGGGAGCTGATATTGAGTGTGTGCGTGCGTGTATGTATGTGTGTGTGTGTGTGTGTGTGTGCGTGAGGGGCGAGCCACACAACAGGACACTCAGGAGACGGTGTGTGTGTGTGTGTGTGTGTGTGTGTGTGTGTGTGTGTGTGTGTGTGATGTGTGTGTGTAAGGGTCGGCATCTCTACCACCTCATCTCTCACTCTACATCTCACTACACGGTACAAAAAGACGCCTCAGGGCTCTCACTCGACTGGAGCGTGTTCGTGGAAATATTGATTCTTCTCTCGCCAACCTGCTCTCTCTCTCTCTCTCTCTCTCTCTTTCTTCTCGGTTCTCTCACAATTATTCAATTATCCCGTCTACGATCTTCTTTTGAGGGGAAATGAAATGGGATTACCGGCTGACGAAAAAAAAACGATTTATTTTTTCTTATATAAGGCCGTGTTCGTCATCTTCTTGAATCACAGAGGTAATTGTGAGCAGCGAGCGAGCAGGCGGGCGGGCGGGCGGGCGGGCGGGCGGG